GTTCCTTCTGTCTCCCTCAGATATATTGTTAAAGATATCATCCACCAGTGAGCCGTCAACGCATAAAATTTGAGGCATTTCTATGGCATCAACAGCAGGATGTTCCATTGCCAACATGCAAGAGCCATGCTGCAAATTCCCTTTGATCTGCTGTTGTCTTGATGTTTTGGCTTAACTTGTATTGGATGAAAATCAACCATAGAGGAAATTTTTTTATACAGATTTCAATGATTGCCTTACGATTTCCTCTTGTCAATATAGGTAGGACTTTAGTTTAAAGTCTCCTCTCAAGAGCACAACTTTACCAGCAAAAACAGCAGCAATGCCAGTGATATCTCACAAGGCTTTATCAGTAGCATTCTACCCCATGAAGCTGGAGAAGGCCTATATGTGTTTCAGTAAATTCAAAGCATTTCAACTGTTCGTTTTTACTGCTTATGCAGCATTCTAGATTTCTAAGTCTAAAGTTCACGTGTTTTTTTTTCAGTATAAGCGAAGTAACTTTTCCATTTTTACTCATGCATATACAGTTTTTTATAAGCATTTAATGCCTTTGTTACTATACTCATACTTGAATTTTAGTTATAGAATAAGCAAATATTTTAGTGAAAATGAAATGAGAATAAAATACGCGCATAGTTGGTGAAAATTTAAAAATTAAATAAGAATAAATTATGCATTTTTTAAAATTAAATAAGAACAGAATATGCACATTTTTTTAGGAAAATTAACGAAAGAATTGTGCATTTTTTTCCTGGAAATTAAATAAGAATAGAATATGCAAATTTTGTGTGAAAATTAAATGAAGACAGAATATGAAATTTTATAGGGAAAAATTAAATAAGAATATACGTTTTTGTGTTTGGCGACCTAAAACGGAAGGGGAGCAATATATTTAACATAATTGGTGAAGTAAACCACACTGAAGACACGACGAGTGGGATCGCAGTTACTGCGTGAGAGTATTATATATTTTTTAAGATATTATGCTATATATATATATATATATTAAGAAATGGACAAGGTCCGACAATTTATTTATTAAAGACATTTTTATGTTTAACGTTGTTATTTTATAGATACAAGTATTTAAGCGAATGCTCTGTTTATGATAAACAGTATTAAATAACATTTACCGGCCTGAATGTCCGAGAAATTTTCATAGAAAATATTCGTCCTTTGACAGGATTCGAACCTGCATCGTATACGGAACCGTCATATACGCTGACGTGCCTTACCTCTAGGCTGCAAAGAACCGTTCGGTAGACAAGGTCGAAGATTGGAGTTTATAAGCAGTATATATATTTGAAATTATGACCCGTTGTATACAAAAAAAATCCTTTTGGGTTCATTTCAAGTGCAATAAAAAGAAACGTATGCATATTCCATTTAATGCCCTTACCATACATTTCCAATACACTTTATTTCCCATCCTACTTCCTCCCCCTCCTCCTCACCTTCTGCTGCACCCAACGTTTTACGCTTATTCATTTATTTATTTATTTTTTTAATATAGCGTTCATAAATTTTTCATTTTTTAAACAAAAAAGCATTTGGGAACAAACTGAACGAAATCGTCTGAAGATTACTAAATTTTGAAACCAATGTAGCGGAATCGGTTGATTTCCACATTTCCTATACTTAAAATCTCTACATATTAATTTTTTATCTTTTTATATGTGCATTTAGAACTTTTTTTAATATTATTGGTCTAATTCAACTCTCACCATTAACTTTTTTATGACACACACACACACACACATATAAACAATATAATGTATAATAATAACAAACATGGACGCTATGAGAACAGTAGTCGCTGTAAGAATAAAAAATACAGAGTCAATATAAAAAATATAAGAAAAACAATACACAGACATTGCTGTCTTTCCGTGACTTAAAATTTCATGTAGACACCTAGAAGTTTATGTGACTGTCTCACCGCATAAAATTTTAGCTGTCTACACGAAGTCGAAGAAAAACAGTATATATGTGAGCATTGTTTTGTTATATATACTCATATATTCATCTAAAAAAAAGTATTGGAAAGATATATGCCAATTCCTTTGTTTTTGTTGTTCAGTAAAAAACATTTGTGCTTAAGTTCCAAAGATGAATTTGAAACAAGAGTTCAGAATTTCGGCTTTTATTTCCTGGTATTTACATTTTGATGTATTAAAAAAGGATAGGACATTACACCTTTTGTATCAGATCAGCCCAGTTTCAGATGACTAAAAGTAAAGAAACTGAAAATCTTAAAGGAATTAACATTAATATATGGCTGCATAATACTTGTTAGCAATAAGTGCAACAATCCTGCAACCTATTGACATCACTAAACTGTTGCATTTGTGTTGGTGTCTTTCAATTTTTCAGTTCTTGCTTGTTTCAGGGTTTTCATCCTTTAGTTTCCTATTCAGGAGATTAAATGCATGATCTAGTGGTTTATTGTTCGGCGATCAACTTAGCTAATCTAAAACCGCCACCTTTTTCTCTTGAAACTCTGAATGCTTCTATTATAATAATCTTCTGATGTTAAACCCAAATATCTTGAGTGAACAACAAAAACATTGGGATTTTCTTTGCCGTTCCAATACTTTTGCAGGGCAATATATATATATATATATATATATATATATATATATATATATATATATATGAAAAAAATATATACGGAAAAAAACAAACAAAAATCCTTATATACAATTATGCTGTTTTAATGTTAATATGTCAACGTCGGACGTTTCGGTCTAATAAACCATCTTCAGGACATATTCATAAATTATAACATTATCAATACAACATGACAAAGACGATGTACATAAGAACAAGACTTATCTAAACAGATAACTGAAAGTTTTATAAGATCAGCATTCCTTTTAAACATGGTCACGTTGTCGTCACGTGGGCGACGCTGTGAAAACGTATTCCTAAAATTTGTGTATTTTGAATGAAAAATGAAAAGAATTCTATTTTGAACTAAAATTTATATGTACGCTTGTCGAGCATTAATCTCGCTAGAAAAGGGGAAACACTAAAGAAGCCAGATCTAGTATAGTATTTTGTTTGTTTTTTCCGTATATATTTTTCTTCATACTGTTGGATCTATATCCATATATTTGCTTACATATATATATATATATATATATATATATATATATATATATATATATCTGGGATTGGTATCTAGACGCACTGGATGCTTACTAGAGTGAGAGAACTCTGATCTTTGTTAAGGCAACCTCTCTTGGAGAAGGAAAATTAAAAAACCTATATACCTATAGCTTGCATCCAATGATGTAGATCATTTCTACTTTTTGGACAAAGGTATTCGGAGTTCAAAGAATGGTATTGAAGCCATTTTAATCACTTTTTTGTGAATGCGCTTGCCTTCTGGTGGGAGTTTTGATATTTCTAAACGGAAATTAGGCGGTGCATGATTGTATCGATCTGACCAGATTTTTTAAAAACATAATTATAAGAAAGAATGACGTTTTTTGGTTAATTCAGTATAAGGTAATTTGTTTAGGTGTTTTTCCAATTCAAATGTACTGCTTTTCATGACAACATTCAGTTTACATATTTAGCTATAAATCCAGGTACATCTTGACTATTACACCTACTACCAATAGGTTTAAAGAAACAATAATCCTGGAGTAAAGGGTACAAAAATATGAGTTTATCTATTGGAAAGGGGAGATTTATTTTTAATTGTACTAGATGCAGTTACTGACATCTTAACCTACCATGATTTTATCTCTCATATTTATTCCTCTTAGCTTTTCGACAAGATTGCCTGAATCTTTAATTGCTTCAATGAGTGGATTTAAATTTTTGTTATGCTTTCTATCGGTTTGTAGGGAGCGCTACCAATACATGATATGATGGCTAAAATTGAAATGTTTTCTGTGTGTGTTTTAGGTAGAACATAAAATCTTGTTATTTTGATGTTGTATTCTGTTAACTTACACCATGAATTGTTTTCATTACTGTAGTATTGAAAATAATCTTAAGATACTCCAGTACCCCAATTATTTCCTATTCAACTATAAACAGAAAGTTCGCCATATTTTTCAAAATCAAAATCAACATTAAAGAATAACCGAATCAAAATACATTAATCTATTTATCAACTCTATCAGTACAATTTAAAACAATTTATCTCAGTTTAACGTAAAATTCGTTACACGTACTTCTAAAACAATAATAGACTTATTTAATACAAAACAAAATAATAACTTAAAAGCTGAAGACGGAATTTATTGTACAGCATGTAATGACTGCTACAAGGAATACACAAGAGTGACTACAAGAAATTAAAAATATATATCAATACAAATGTTTTTTTTTTTCAAAATATATACAGTATATTAGTCGCTAAAGATAGATTTAAAAATGTTACTTTAATTAAAAAAGAAGGCAATTTAGTAAGGCGAAAATGTCTACCTATTAGAAAATCGTCCACGGTAAATTTGCATTCAAATTCATCCCACATTTCGTTCTTTGCAGATCATCTATTATCACAATGTGCGATACCTATGGTATGTTTCATATTATACAAGATTTCTTAAAATACTCGATGTTCGCAAGCGTTCTCCCATCTGACAGGGTTTGACACAAAGCTGGGGTAACATGTTATTTAGAAATAACTGTGACTAAATCTTAATGATATTTTTAGTTGGGTTCCATAACAGATGCTCTCCCTCGCTTTGACAGTATATCTAGAATAGTCTAAACTATCATAAAGTATTAAAAATTTCATACGTGCTTCTTAAAAAAGTGACATCTATTTTATACCTATAAATTGGGTGACCCTCAGCATGACCAAGGTTAAATAACATCTGTGCTCTAGTGTAAAAATACAACTACCGCGTCTTTTTAAATCAGCATCGAACATTTCGTGACAACGTTTTTCTTAAAAATGCCATTCGGAAGTAGCATACGGTTGTCAAGTAAGTTGTTGAAAACCGAAAAGAAAACGCAATAAAAATTCAAAAAACGAAAAGTATATAAAGATGGCGGAATTTGAAGAAAATGGTGTCGGTGACGGAGGATCCGTGAATTGAGGAGCGGAGGAGACTTGGCATGGCGAAAGAGCATGTAAGAAAGAAAGAAAGAAAGAAGGAAAGATTAAAACTGACGGTTTGTTCAGAATCTCCAAAGAGGACAGAACAAAATAACTTCAACTGGTATATATATATATATATATATATATATACTTGCCAGCTATCCCTTTTACACAAGTTTCCTTATAGACGATTGACAAGATACTACGATTAACCTTTTTATTTATTCCTTGTGTTCGTACAAGTGTTCTTTTCTGGACACAAAGTCGGCAAAAACTCTCTAATTCTGATTCTCTGAGTGCCTATATTCTTTTAGCTATTATTAAGGATGATTTTTATTTTTATTTCTTATTTTTAACTGAACGTGTGTGATTTTTTATATACGTGCTTGAAGTTATAGGAATATTTTATTTCCAAACATGTTCAGCAAATTGTGGCCATGTTTGTAGTTAATGTTATTGAGTGTTGCTTTTTACTTTTTTATTAGTAAGGATTCCATTATTTTCAATCATTTTTTTATATGAGGATGAGGTTATTTAACTTTTATTTTCTGCTAGAATGTTTTGGGTGGAGTTGGTAGATTTTCGTATGTGTTTAAATGAGTTCTAATTGAGGTATGGTCGGGTAGGGGTAACTGAGTCGTCTAGATAGGGCTGTAGTAGTATGATCAATATAATTATTTAGTTGCTTAATGGGCATTTGAACTCGTAAATAATATTGATTCTTTGCAGTTTTGATTTTGTGGGTGTGATAATTTTGATGATGATGTTAGCTGTTTTAATTTTTTTGTAATAGATAATTAATTTAATTTAATATCCTTGTTCTGATCGACTGGTGTTGTGTATTTCTTCATGATATTTTTAAGATAATTTCTTCTCTCTCTCTCTCTCTATCTATCTATCTATCTATATATATATATATATATATATATATATATATATATATATATATATATATATATATATATATATGTGTGTGTGTGTGTGTGTGTGTTGATATAATAATAAATAACTCTTAGATTGATGATCCTAAGTTCTTTAGTATTTGTGTTTGTATGTTTAAAAAAGAGTGCTCGATGCAGAAGCAGAGCCTAAATTATAATTATTTTTCAAAAAAATATGATTCTATCGCGACACAGAAATGTCTATGTTCCGAAACTGGTCATCTGTTTCATGTTTAATTTCAGTATTAAACCTTGACTGTTCGATGACTGTTTCATTCTCAAACATCCAAACATCTCTTGAGGATGAAACAGTCATCCAACATTTAAAGTTTAATATTGAAAGTAAACTTGAATACGGATAACCAATTTCGAAGCATAGAAATTTCTGTGTCGCGATGGAATCATATTTAATATATATATATATATATATATATATATATATATATATATATATATTTGAATAAAAACAGACCACTTTAAGGTTCCATGTAATAAATTATTTCACCACAGCCCTTTCAAAGGGCTCTGGATCATCAGATTTTACTTCCAAAGGTTGAAATGTGAACCTTTGGAAGTAAAGTCTTAAAGTGGTCTTTTTTTATTCAAATTTATTTGCTCTGAATTTACATTGAGCTCTCTGGATATCATCCTCCTTGCGTTTACCCATACGGATTACCTAGTTTTGCATAAACTATATATATATATATATATATATATATATATATATATATATATAGGGTGGAGTAGCCTTGGATGGTAACTGGTCTTGGAGAAGGACGAATTCTCTTGCTTCGACTTCTTGAAATCTTCGAGTAGGATTTCTTTTCCGAAGAGAAAAATGTCGCAAAAGACAATTTGAACTGGTTTGAGACTACTTAAACAGCACTCTCTCTTACTGAGCGAGAAGAGTTAACGATTAATTTCTACTCTGCTTGTCGACTCTCTGCTTTCGGTTGGAGAGGAAATCAGACGAGGCTATGCCTACAGGCAGAGGTTCGTCAGACGAGGTAAACAGCCACGGAAACAGCCACGTACGCGCTCGGAAAGCCCCACGTTAAAAGCCGGCCTTTTGCCCCATCCAACATTGTTCCACATCCCGCCTGGTGAGGAGATCTCGGGTAAATACCGAAGATTTAACGATAGGTGTCAACAATGCTTGTCAACTCGCTGCCTGGGTGGAGAGGAACTACTGGGGAGATAGACTGCCACCCGACCCCGTGGATGCGGCGTCTACTGGGAATTTTTACCCGATCATACGCCCTCGGAAAGCCCACGTTAAAAACTGTCCTTGTGCCACATCACGCCTTGTGGGAGGGTCTAGGGTAAATTCGAGAAATTAATGATTAAATGTTTATTACATTAGTCTGTGTTCTCAACCGTATACCATATTATTCTCCGGAATAACCTAATACTTATATTTTATATGCTTATCAATCTTTCCTATTTACGACATATCACATACTTTAACCCCATTATCTTAGCAACATAGTCGATATTTTTGATCAGATCAGGTGCCGAAAAAAGTTTTTGCCGATTTTTATAAGGGGAATTAACGATGCATATTTAAAGTCTTAAATGTATTTATTCATCAAAATATGATCCCTCACATTCTATGACCTTCTCCCAAGGGTTCAACAACTGAGTGATGTCATTTTTGTAAAAGTCCTTAGTTTTAATTTGGAAAGTTATTTACTTCCGTTTTCAAGTCATCTTCATTATTAAATGTCTTCTTCTTCATATGATTATCAAAGCCCAAAAACAAGTAATATCTGTTGGGGAGAAGTTTGGTAAATACGTTGGATGAGGCATAATTTCCCACTTTAGCTTTGCTATCTTGGCAACGGCCATTTTTGCAACGTGAGGGCGATCATTGTCCTGTTTTGTGTTTACTAATGCAGGCTGTTTCTTCAACAAATTTTCCTGAACCCGTTCATGTTGCTCGCAGTATTTGTTAGGAGTAATGGTTTCACCCGTTTTTAAAAACTCATAGTGAATTATTCCTTGGTATGTCCACCAAACACACAGCAAATTATTATTTTATTTTTTTTTTTAGGAATAGTGGTGCCTTTAAAGTTTGTGGCAAAGGATCACCCGGCGATAACCAATGATGTTTCCTCTTAGAGTTTGTCTACATGATCCACTTTTCATCACATGTCATAATCCGATCAAAAATATGTTCTTTTATTAATCTACTGCGATGAGAAGAGCATATGGCAAGCCTCTGCAGTTTGTTTTCTGGTGTTAAGTCATATGGTAACCATTTGCTTATTTTCCATTTCTTCCACAGCTGGTTCAAATGCAGACTTATAGTTTCATCGCTTACATTAAGCCTCGAAGCTAGTTCATGACATGTTAAATCTGAATCTAATTCTATGGCTGCCTTTAAATCCTCATTGTTTAGGGGTATTGGTCGTCCCGTTCAGTTTCATCTTTGAGGGTTTCATTGCCACAACGTAACTTCTGAAACCAATTACGTGCATTTCATTCGCTTACTGCACCTTTGCCAAAGGCTGTACAAAGCTTACGAGAAGCACATGATGCACTTGTACCAAGTTTAAACTCATACAACAGACAAGCATGAATTACCAATTTTTTATCAGTCATTTTGAGGGCTCTGAAATGAGAAATACAATATATTAGTTATGTAATAAAATAATAACTGAATCCTTCAACAATGTACTTGTCAATGCAAGTTGCTTCTTTTATACTTATGCTTCTTAGTAATTAAACAGCTGGACCAGAAATAAGTTAACAAAAATCGGCAAAAACTTTTTGGGGCTCCTGATATATTCTTGAAATGAGAAGAATATAAATTGATGGCACGAAACAGAAAGATAATTGAAATATATACACTAAGCCCTTCTACTCATTATGTGTTAAAGAAATTTCAACTGTATCTTTCTGAATTTAAGTATAAATGCCCATTTTTTAAAATTTCCCTTAAGTTTTCCATGTTACTGACATGTTCAGTCTATAATATACTCAGCAATTTTGTATACACCCACATAAATAAATAGATTAAAGATACATAGATAGAAAAGATAGATAGATAAATAGAAAGAAAGAATGAAAGAATTTAAAAGAATAAAAAGACTGATATGTACTAGAGTCTGTCTATATTTCTGAGATGAGGTATTATGTACAGTATTTACATTAGTCGGACTATTGTCCTCATCTTTGTCGCCATATTTGTCACAACGTTTCGGCCGTTGTACGCTCCGGTCTTCTTCAGGTCGTTGGAATTTCGAACTGAACCCTTTGTTTCGATCACTGGGGTAGACTGTTCTAGTTCCACGTGCCATGTTTGATGGATGTCAGTTATCAGTTATCTCCTGCTAATTTTCCCTCTGAAAGTTCTCCGCTGCCTTAACCAGGAATTGAACTCACCTTCTTTGGGTCTGTCTCTGGATCTAAACATGGCACGTGGAACTAGAACAGTCTACCCCAGTGATCGAAATAAAGGGTTCAGTTCGAAATTCCAACCACCTGAAGAAGACCGGGGCGTACAACGGCCGAAACGTTGTGACAAATATGGCGACAAAGATGAGGACAATAGTCCGACTAATGTAAATACTGTGATATGTACTAGTTGACGTAAATCAGAATTTATTCTGGATTGATCGACTGATTTAATTTTACCGTTTATCACCCCTTTCTGTGTTATTTAATTCTGAAACAAATTTTGGATAGTAAGAAATTTAAATATCGTGAGTGAATATTGAATTACTTTCTCGAGAATAGAAATGATTTTTCCAGAAAAAAAAACCCTACTATTTAATCCATAGCAGAAGGAAGAGGTAGATACATATATTTCTCAAGGGTATATGCACATAAGTGAATGGAACGAAGACGACATGAATTCGAACTCTGCTCTAAAAGTTCTCATTCCTAGCCGCTATCTATTACACAGCGAATGAACATCAGCTCACTAAAAAACCAAAAGAAAAAAAAGATCTTGTAAGATACCTAGGCCCAGTTTTTGTAATTATTTCACGCAAAGCAAGGCAAGAGAAGGCACTAGGGTGCAAGGGGTTACAGAGAGTAAAAGAAATAGACAAGTTAATAAGAGAACAGAATTCAAGGAGACAGAAGATGACAATTGAAATTGCTTTTAAATTTTTGATGGTCGTAATTTACAGGAAAGCGGGAAGTCGAAGAGAGATCCCGAAGCGGAAAATGCGACAGATGAAACTACCAGCATATAACATATGATTGCACCTAACAATTACAACGGTGAAATTATGACACCTAGCTGCAATATAGTATTGCGTCTAAATTAATAACGAGGGGGTAACAAGGAAGAAAGATCATTAGAACAGTGAAAACATTCATAGAAGAAGCAAAGTGTCATATCGGAATTCCGCCAAGTGTATAAATAGAGGTGCCAGGCTACTGACTGGAGTGATTATTGAGTAACTATTAAGTGGAACTATCCAGTCGAATTAGTGTGAATTATTGTGCGTCGATGATTTGGGTTTTGATTTAGGATTTACCGGAAGTTAAGCCGAGCCGCGCTACTAACAAGGTATTCACTGAAATGGTTAATTATTTTTTGTTGACTTTTACTTCTTTGTTCTTGTTAAGTATTTATTTGTGGTTGTAATTAAATACTGTTTTATCATAACATTGAAGTCTTTAGTTATATTTAATCATAAACGGCCACCGTATGTCACAAAAAAAAGTGAAGCTAAATTAAGACAGGAGAAATTACTGAACCCGGGATATTAGGTCTGGACCGATAACATTGAAGATTCTTCGTTGTCAATATTCTCAAGACACAGTACCAAGATTTGAGATTCTTAATAGAATTCAAAGAATAATCTACAACGCTATTGCTCAACCTCTTTGCTTCCGGCTTAACGTGGCTTCCCTGTGCCTTTTCTATAAATACTTTCATGATTGTTCCGTTGAAATTTCCTCTAAGTTTTTATTTTTATTACCCATCGCACAGAAAATTGTACAGATGGAAACTAGTCAGGACTTCATCGAAACTTGAGGCATTATGGCGGCGGTAGTAAGAATGTTAAGTAAGATTGTGTTGTTTGGTCTAAGGAATACTGTGATATGTTTGGGTCAGTAATTGTATCTAGCTAATTTTAAGATAAGACAATTTGAAGACAAGCCATTGCACCTTTTGTCCTTATGTCACATATTTGTATTCTCAAAATAGATATTACTTTCACCTTTGATACCAATACTTATTAAATTTAAGCGTACTACTATATTAGCGACAAGGTCGCATTATTTTACAACTGAAATAACTAGATTATTTACATTATTCGGAGTATTGTCGTCATCTTTGTCGCCATATTTATCACAACGTTTCGGCCGTTGTACGCTCCGGCTTTTTTCAGGTGGTTGGAATTTTGAACTGAACCCTTTATTTCGCTCACTGGGGTAAACTGTTCTAGGACATATGGCGCAATGGATAAAGGCGTTGGTTAGATCCAGTGACAGGACCCAAAGAGTGTGAGTTCAATACCCGGTTAAGGCAGTGGAGAACTTTCAGAGGGAAATTAGCAGGAGATAACTGATAACTGACATCCATCAAACATGGCACGTGGAACTAGAACAGTCTACCCCAGTGATTGAAATAAAGGGTTCAGTTCGAAATTCCAACCACCTGAAGAAGGCCGGAGCGTACAACAGCCGAAACGTTGTGATAGATATCGCGACAAAGATGACGACAATAGTCCGAATAATGTAAATAATGTACATAATACCTCATCTCAAAAATATAGACACACTCTGAAATAACTAGATGCAACCGTAAATTCTATGCTGAGAGTTTCTTCTCTTGCACGTCCCGTTTGATGGAACTCAATTCCGGCTTCTTGCATTATAGTTAAATTTGATCATCAAAGATTTAAATTCTTTTTTTTTTATTTAAATCCATCATAATCTCCTGTTTTCTTTATCCATGTTCTTTTATTGCTCCCCCTCTTTAAAAGTTTTTTATTTTTAATCCCACCAAGTAACTTCATATATCTTAGTAGCTTCATCGATTTCATTGGCGCGAAATGATTACAAAACAAAAAAAAACAGACCAGATGAGGCAGAAATATTCAGTGCCAGGACGAATGGTACTCTGATAATATTTCAGTCTTATAAGATGCACAATGTAGATTCTGGCAAGAAAAAATGTCTAGCAAGACGTAGGGAAACAACGTTATGCTGTAGAGTAGTTTTCACAGTGGAGGCTTGTATTTCACTAAGTCGGTCCTAAATTAGGTTCGACGTACAAAACGTTAGGAACTTGCAATAATAGTTATTGACGCAGCAATCTAGTTGTGGGGCTTATACTTTAATGTCCGACATCGACTGACTCACACAACTCACTCAGCTTCACTGGCGACTGCTACTAGTAATACTTATTATCTGTGGGAGTGTCTATTTACAATAGAAATAGGTACGCTCCGGTATAACGCTTCCCTAGCTGCAGACTAAGCAAAGTGATTTAATATATTCATTCGTCTTGATATCAATGGATAAGGTGAGACTAAGAAAGCAGTGCACTGATTTCCTCTACTGGAGGTTAGCATCAGCCATACTGTGAAAGTCACAAAATAGGTTTTTTTAATATGATTTGTTTCATTTTAGGAGTGCCGAAATTAACAAGACACTCTAGGAAGCAAATACTCAATTAAAAAAAAAATATATTGAAAAGAGAGCATATCACAACAGATTGCAGGTAATACTGAACATCAGCTACCAATTTGATTTTATAGAACCTATCTGGTGTACTAATTAGGTAAAAGTAAATAATTGTCCCATCATCGTAGATACCGAGTTGGGAAATAATGACACCAGAAAGGTCGTTCGATCCTGTCCATAGTGGTAACGTGAGTAAAAGAATGGAGTTTCGAATGGCTGGTCATATAAAATATTTTGTAGCAGATGTTAAATGGTAAAACTGGGTAATGTTGAGATTATGGGGACGAAGCATTCTCTATTGATACAAGCAACTAACAAAAAAAACCCAAAGAAAACAAAAGAACTATCATGTGCGAATTCTAACAGCGAATTCACCGGTTTATTTTATTAGGTCAAACATATTCATACTCTATATTATTTGACAAGTCTAAATTTGGAATCGCTTTAAATCCAGCCAACCTCCAAAGATTCCGATGCGACAATATCTAAATCCAAAAATGAAAATAAATAAAAATGAAAAGAAAATGATAAATGTTTAACTTCCGAAGAATTAGCGAAGACACAACAAAAGAACCATCGACATTTTGAAATTTACAGGAAGTGGCATAAGAAGAGAATAAAAGATGATTGAAACATTACTGAGTTCAATTGAAAGATGGCGGGATAATTTTTTTTTTATATACATTGGAACTGTTAATTTTGAGTGTTTAATTTTAACCAGAAAGGAAGCCTTTCTTTGCTCTGGTTGAAGGTAATGAATGGAAATTAAGGAATTGAGATTCAAAGGAACAGAAATTGCAACAGGAATGTTAAATCATCTGACGCCAGAAAGAACAATGAAAGGGAAAAAGAAAAAAATATGTATCAAGCCCCCAACACACAACTCTATCGCACTCAATTTCTGTCTTTATCTGTATGTAGGTGTGTGCATATATATATATATATATATATATATATATATATATATATATATATATATATATATATATATATATATATATATATATATATATGCATATAATTATATATTTTACGAGCACGAACTAAAATATGCAATCAAAAATAGTTTTCAATTATTGGCGGATAACGTCACACACACATACATGAACATAAATATAAGTATATTTATACGAATATATATATATATATATATATATACTGAGAGAGAGTGGGGAGATAGATAGATAGATGGCAACAGACTGCAATAGATAGATAGATAGATAGATAGATAGATGTGAAAAAGGGAAGTGAAACAATGAGATTGGTAGATATGAGACATATCTAAGAGAAAGAGACAGAGAGAGAGACAGAGAGAGAGAAATGATACAACGTGTATGTACAGTAATCTATAGTCAGGAAGATATAAACAAACTTATTGAGAAGGATATGAAAGAACAGATAGATAGATAGATAGATAGATAGATAGATAGATGAGAAAGAGGAGAAAGAGGATGAGAAATAGTGAGATAGATATGAACCGTATTTACGAAAGAGAGAGTAAGAGAAACATGCTACGACGAGAATGTACATTAATTAATAGTTAGGAAGATATGGACAATGATATGAAAAAGGATATGAAATCTCTGGCATAGATAGATAGATAGATAGATAGATAGATAGATAATGAAGTTTAATAATTATTACTGGAAGTAGAGAAAGAGACAGACAAAGACAGAGAGAAGAAGAGGGAGAGAGAGAATTCATAAATATGACTGTACTGGATCAGTGAAAATGATATTGATTGACCCAGGAGAGGATAGGAACGAGATGCAATATCAATTATAGCTATAAACAATAATATGAAGAAAGGCAATGTGAAGAGTATGAATGCTGTCGTGTAGATAGATAGATAGATAGATAGATAGATAGATAGATAGATAGACTGTCAAGGGAATGAGATAGATAGATAGATAGATAGATAGATAGATAGATAGATAGATAGACTCTCAATAGAATGAGATAGATAGATAGATAGATAGATAGATAGATAGATAGATAGATAGATAGATAGACTGTCAAGGGAATGAGATAGATAGATAGATAGATAGATAGATAGATAGATAGATAGATTGTCAAGGGAATTAGATAGATAGATAGATAGATAGATAGATAGATAGATAGATAGATAGATAGATAGATAGATTGTCAAGGGAATGTGATAGATAGATAGATAGATAGATAGATAGATAGATAGATAGATAGATAGATAGACTCTCAATGGAATGAGATAGATAGATAGATAGATAGATAGATAGATAGATAGATATAGATAGATGGGCTGTCAAGGAAATGAGATAGATAGATAGATAGATAGATAGATAGATAGATAGATAGATAGATAGATAGATAGATTGTCAAGGGAATGAGATAGATAGATAGATAGATAGATAGATAGATAGATAGATAGATAGATGATTTGTTGGACAAAATAGGCAATAAAGTCGCTACTTTCAACAAGAAACAAACTATAAACATCTACTGTTCAGTAAACATGAAATAACACTGGGCGGGTGATAGGCGAACGTACCTACTTCTATTAAAATGTTAACACCATAGTATTCTGGGCAATTTTATTGAGATACCGTCTCTAAATTCGTTTTTACTTATTACTATCTTCTTAATTATTGTTTAAATTAAGGATATTAGGTCAGTCGATGAATATGATAAGAATATGTATATACATAATAAATAAATAGTATAAGATTCTTCTCAAATATGCATAAGATCATTTTTATTACTGTTAAAATTATTTGAGAGATAAACAACAGCGCTACAGCATAGGTATAAACCAATGGCTTCTGTTATCAATCATAGACATATAATTGGTAACAGCGGCTTCCCATACTTAATACTTCTCGAATTCACTCTCGCGTGATCATGTGTGACGTCCTGAGCTGCGGTGCGATTTTCGCTTCCAGCGTCTTATATGCACGTGTTTATCGTTTCTTGGAAATCCTGCATGTAAACAGAAACAGACTATCATCACTGTCTTGTCCGTATATTGATTAATATATTGTACAGTAATTGTCATCTTTGATAATGTCTTATGTAAGCTGAAAGCTTAGATTGGATTAAAAAATATGGATCAATGTTGTGATATTCTTTCTTCGATTAATGATTATATTATTAAGCTTATCAGACGTTATGAAAAGAATTTACATAAAATAAATAGACAACACTTGTCTATATTATTTAATGAAAACACACACACACATATATATATATATATATATATATATATATATATATATATATATATATATATATGAATAAAGCGTGAAACTTTTTTATATGCACTTTAAAACATTTTTACAGTATTCGTAGCTGATTCTTTTCAGTGTCGGCTTCAGTTTTTTAATGAGGATCTGTAGTTTTAATTTGTTATTTGCTTGGTGTGGGATAGTTGTGATATCAATCAATATTTTTCTATAATGTGAATGTGGAAAGGAATGTTGATGTAAATGTCTCGCAAATATATAATGGATGTGCGACAACTACATTATCCAGGCGACTTACTCTAACATGACTGACTATTCGTCCATTGCGAGGCATTTACACCAACATTCCTGTCCACGTCAGCAGCACAGAAAAATACTAATTGATAGCATAACTATCCGACACCAAGAAAATATTAGGTTGGTGCAAAAATAATGACGTCATAATGTCGTTTTTTGACGTATTTTTTAATGTCAACAAACGAGATTATTACGTCATTATTTTTGCACCAACCTAATAGATTAAATCTAAAGATCCTCGAAGCAATCTTCATTAAAAATTTGAAGCCGACACTAAATAGAATCAGCTACGAATATTCTAATAATGTTCTAAAATTGCTATAAAAAAGAACAATATCCACGCTTTAATACGCGCTCGACCATGACATTCCAACATAAAAGAAAAAAAGTCCTTAATATATATATAATGGCTGGGGACCACTATCGCAGTGATGATAATGTTATCTCTGCTGTTGTAGACTTTTTTGACAGCCCGGATGACGGCTGCTTCATCAAAGGGATTCGAGGTCTACAACGCAAACGAAAGAAATATGTCGACTGCTTGATGAGAAATCAACCTCATTTGGTCATATTTCATGAGAGTATCTTGGTGAACGTTTGAACTTTTCAGCCGCCTCTCGAATACATACACAGGCACGCGCGTACACACACACACACACACACACACACACACACACACACACACACACACACACACATATATATATATAAATATATATATATATATATATACAGGATGTGATGGGTAAATTGTCGCCATTTTATATTGTTATGTCACGCATGCACGTTGCTTTTAATTTTGTTGACTGCACAATATAGTACGGTCAGTTGGTAACCCTCTGTAAGAAAAAGTGCACTATGACATAATTCAACCTAATAGAAATGTGGAGACGGTATGCTGTAGTGCTTAACATTCGCTCCGGAAGCTCCGGTACAAATATTTCAGAGTGATTGGGTGTCAATCTGTGGACGTTGCAGTGGATTCGGAAAGACAGATGAGTCCAGTGGTGATTACGTAGATACGGTAGCTCGGAAAACTCAGTCTGATCGTTCTGATAAGAAAAGAACTCCCAAATTTGGGAGACCTCATGTTCAACACAAGTGTTGTGAGGAGGTAGTACAGCCCTGGGTCAAAAGGGTGGCTGCTGGAAGACTCTATGTCTGGTGACAGGACACTGCAACATGCAGGAGAACACAGTCATGACTGGCAGACAATATCTGCCATCACATCACCCTTTAGATCTGACCTCCTAACTTTTCATAATGCAAACTCCTTGATTATTATGTATGGGACGCAGTTGATCAAGAGAACAACAAAACTT